AAAAAAAAAATAAATAAATATAAATATACATATATATATAAAACCAATTCATCATCAGATTAATATGGACCAGCTTTACGGGTAATTGAAGCTTGCAAGCATCAATTGACTGAAACATAATGAACTTAGACGAATAGACGGTAATCAAAATTGGAGGTTCTAGAGATGTTAATGTGAACATTGAGCACAAGCACCCATTCACCGTAACATGGTATAATGTCAAAATATCAACCAAATGTGGTGGTAAAGAAGAAGTGTGAAATGATAACTGTCAAGCTATACTGATATCTTACTATCGAGTAATTAAATGGCATATATAAAACTCGGAAAGACAAAACAAGTTGCACAAGTTTACAATTCTCTCGGCTGACCATCAAGACAAAAACAAGTTGAATGTGTTTACTAGTCAAAACTGGGCAGAGCTATGGATTCGATATTAACATACCAGATAAATAATGGAGCATGCCGGCAGATTCTTGTGATTGTACCTAGATTTTGTAGCAAGACGTGAATAAGAATTACCCCAAGAAACAAAAGAAATGAGGTCATTATTTTGATCTTAAGGTCCCTTTCCCAATAATTATAACTCTGTATCACGTTGAACATGTGAACATCAAGATGCTAAAAAACATAAATCAAGATACAACAACCAACACATTTCAAATAAATGAGGACAAAAATATGAATGATCAACGTCAATTTTTTTAACTATCTTATTCTGCAATCAATACAAATCACTTGAAATTAGTACAGTGAATTATAGCTCTCCTTGTTGTGACTGTGAAGTCATGTGGCCAACATGTTACTCAATAAATTATTTTATGAGCCATAACTAGGCAGTCTTAAGTAGCCAGGCTCCACAGAAAGAGATTCTGCTCATCAATACTAACTAACTTGTCATGACTTCTGGTAGGCCACCACAATACACTACAAAGAGCATGGCATTCAATACTCTACTGACCAAACTAAAATTATCTAAATTAAAATGAATTCAGCCAATCAATATCATCATGAAGCAAAGATGAATTTGCCTTGACAGCAGCATGGATTAGGAGCATGCTAATGTTGAAAAACGAATTTTTTTTCACTTAGTTGTCGGGCCTTACAGTGTCACTATTGAAGGAAAGACCAACAAAATACCTCTTCATTTCTTTGAACTTTTCCTTCCTTTTAGTTTTTATCACAAATCAAAGAGATATTCGAGCTAGGAGCAGTAATGTAATTGAAGTTAAAATTCATGCTTCCTGAAACAAAACAGCCTGCACAAAAAAACTTCTCTCAAACCACTAGAAAAGAGGACAACAATTACCCAGAAAAATAGTAACAGTTAACTTTTAAAGACAGTAAGATACATGAATAGCATAATCTTCAAAATTAAATTGGATAGATACTATGCATTAATTGGGATTGGAGGTATAGAAGTTCAAGTGTTCAACTAATTCATCTGAGATATCTAAAATTAAAAATATGGACTGAGATTCATTTGCTCCAATGTACCAGTTAACCCACTCAATAGTCGATGGAATCAGAACACATTATGAAATAGCGAAATGATAAGCTTAGAGCAAAAAGGCATTCCAGTTTCTTTTTATCTTCAGAATAACATTATCAATAATTGCATTTTACAACTGTGTCTTTCTTCAGCTTCAAGCTCACAGTTTAGCCATGAAACAATGAACTCACCATTTAATCGTTGAAGTGTGAGCATCCAGAGAAGCAATTCGTTCAAGTTGTGGGGAATTCTGCTGGCCATATAACTCAGGAATTTGCCATATTGCTGCTCTATCATATGATTCGCCTTCCAAGCATAAAACAACATTTTACTAAAATTTAGAAAACTCTGACATAAACAAATTTGAAAGTACATATTGAGCCGGCAAAAAAAATTAGAAAAACAAAAAATGAACAACTTACACGAAGAGAAGACAGCGGACAATATCCGTTAATCAAAAGGACGAGAAGCGAGGTCTCAAATTTCATTCGGATACGAAAATAAACCTTCGCAGATCAATTCATTACCGATGAAATCATTATTAAATGCACCTGAAATTTAAAAAATAAATAAATAATTTTGATGTAATAAACACTGCCATTCATATTAAGTTAAGAGGGGAAAAGAAAACTGAAACGACCTCGTTTTCTTCGTCGAGAGTACCAGGGAGGAAACTGGTGTGATCCGTATCTGCTGTCACATCGGAACTGCATCTAGCCTAGAATCAATAACTTCATTTCAGAATTTCTTCTCCCAAAATTAGGGTTTTATGCATTAACACAAGAAAAATTCTTAGAGACGACTCGAAATTGACCTGATATTTAAGACCATAGCCCACTACGGTTGGTTGATCCACCCTGCATTGTACTGCAACGGACGGAAATGTGTGATCGGAATGGGTTTTCAGCTAAGTGAAGCCACTCCGATGATTAATAGATCATAATTGAATTAATTGTCCCAGTAACCACTGAAGTTAATTTATATATTCAATTGTTAGCTGAAATTTGAGACGTCGAGTTTTTTACCATTAAATTTATCCAAACTTTGAACATTACTCACTAACTTAATATTTATTCTAAATCATTAACAGTATTAGTAATGTGGCTAACAAAATGTATATGTGGTGCCCAATCAAACTGTTAATAAATTGTCATGTTTTGGATTGATCTTGAAAACTTTGAAAAAAGTTTTCACTATGACGCTTGTTGCCAAATAGATGTTCTTGAGGAGTTGGTAGTTGATACATTTGAAACAAAACATTCGGCAATCTTATGTGAAACAGATATTGAACAATCAGATAATACAAAAAGAAAAGAATATACTGTACAATTGGCAGAACAACCCATGGGAAGTAGGCATTAGCAATATGAGTCTCTTGGTGCAATCCATCACCACCGATACTTTCAATAGAGAAAGTCTCAAATCTCGAGTTAAAGCCTTTGCATCACATCTGCGTTACACATATTTGGGAGACTCCTTTACATTTCCAGTAATCATTACAAATGATATGATAGATGAGCAGGGAAAAAATTATTGGAGGTACTAAAGAAGTACAAAATTGCAATAAGGACGAGTCAAAGCCATTAATGGATGGTAAGTGCAAATTAAATCCAACTTTAAAGAAAGTAGTGAGAAAGGTAGTACTGTAAAATGTTTTCGATTGCTCATTAAACTTTGAGGAGATTAAATTTTGGCCACAAAATGTATAAAAATGGCATTGGTTGGTTAGTTAAAGAATGTGTACCTCAATCACACGGATTTTGTAAAAGTAATGAAGCGGACAAACATTTTTGGATTATCGATCTCACAAGAAATGATTAGTCAATTACACAATAGTAAATTCTAACATATTTTAGTAGAATTTTAAGCTATTTTTATTATTTATTGTGTTTTGATGTTAAAATTAAATTAAACTATTGTGTAATTGAGTAAACATTTCTCGTAAGATCGACAACCTGAACTCGTTGTTCACTTTATTACTTGTACTCTACTCGTATGATTGAGATACAAATTTTTCAACGAATAACAAACAGATGTCATTTTTTTGAGTTTAGTAGTCAAAATTTAACCACCTCAAATTTCAGTTAGTAATCAAAAAATGTTTTTCAAGGTTTAGTGTGCAATTGAAGACATGACAATTTGTTAACAATGTGACGAAAAGCCACATGTGCATTTTGTTAGCCACATCATTAATTCCATTAAAAATTTGGAATGAATGTTAACGTAATGAGTAACGTCCAACATTTGAATAAATTTAGTGATTAAAACTCGACATCTTAAATTTCAATAAGCAATCAAAGACACGAACATAAGTTCAGTGACCACTAGGACAATTAGCTCATCAAAATTTATAGTATTCAAGAGAAGTAAACTAAGTTAGGTTCAATTTTTAGATTTAATTTCACAAGGCCAGTAAAGTTTGCGCGAATTCCAAATTATCCTTAAATTATAGTTTTGACTTATTTAGTCACTAAAATTATTAAAGTTACACTATTGATCCTCAAACTAAAGTTAATTAGCCCCTCTTTGATGTACATTAAAAAGACTAGATATCCATTAACTTCAGAAAATTTCATAGAAATAGCAACAGCTCGAATTTTTAGAACCTTAAATATAATTTCATTAAAGGTCCGTTTGATAGGCGTCCAAATTCCATGAAAAATGGAATTCGTTTTCCAACTTCCACTTTTTGCCATGTTTGATAGGTTTTTTCTTTCATGGAATTCTCTTTCTTGGTTGTCTTGAAATTCGGACTTTTCTTGGTTTTATTGAATTCCAATTTGGTGAGAATTGGAATTCTCAGTTACTGTAGCACTTTTTTTATTTTATTTATTTATTTTTTTTGTTGGTAATGGAAACAAATTCTAAGAATTATTGTACCAAAATCTATCCCTTTAATTGACAATTTTCATGTAAACAAAGCCAAATGGAGAACAAAAAATACTTTTATTTCAACATTTTCCATATGAAAAATTATTTCAATCAAACACAATAATTTAAAATTCTCAGGAAAATAATTTTTAGGCAATTCAATTCCCTGGAATTCATTTTCAATTCAATTCAGTTCCATCTTTACAATCAAACAGACCATAAGTATCTAAAGAATTTGATTGATAATAGAATTGTTTCTACTTAAAGAGACGAAGCCACCTTAAGTACACATTAGGTATTGACCTGCATTGAAATTTGGGCTCTTGCGGAATGTTGTTAAAAAAAATTGTACAATTTTGGGCTTATGCAAAAAATTTATGTAGCCAAAAAAACTTTTTAAATCCTAATCCCAACTAATTAAAATCAAGTCTTTTAGGTTATTTTGATTTGAAACGCATACCCTAGTAGCTTAAACCATGATCCCAATTCCCTACTAATTAACCCACCCTATACTCTCCCTGCTGTCCACTGAACACTCCAAAATTGGCATTTTAGTGAAATTTATCCCTGCTCTCAACTTTCAATTCAAGAAAAGAACTACAATAAAAACCAAATTAGGAAATGACGATTCCAATAGAAATATTAACCAGTCAATAGAAGATAAAAGAAATTAAGTAGTTCTAGAATTGTCCAATGCATCAAAGAAAAAGAATCCGATGCAATCTAACAATAAAAGTAAATTGTTAAACTAATTATTGAGTCACGTTTGCTGCAGTGGAATGGAACAAATTTAAGACATCTATTGGACTTCTCTACTGGACGTCAGTTTGTTGTCCCTCTTCAACAGCACCTTCTACACGCCATAAAAGCAATGCACGTCTTTTAAGTTTTTGAAACATCGACGTTGTTACATCCTCAGCACATATCTGAACAAACATGTATTTTATAAAAGGAATTAGTAATATTCTATATTCAAATCAATATAACTTTAAAAAAATTAATTAAATAAATAAATCTAGATAAGGAAAAGATGTTACCAACGCAAGAACGGCACATATAGCTACTATTACGTAAATGCCAAAGAGACGGTTATTCGCCTTGTAGTTAGATGCAGCAGATCTTGCAAAGGCTAGTGCCATCACCGAGATGAAACCAGATGGATCACCTCGAGCCTCATTTCGTATATAACATACTATGGATGCCATATGTAATGCAAAGATAGTTTGATGAGCCTCATCACTTTCGCCATCCAAAACCAATATTTGATGGAGGACAACGCCGATCACTTTCACAAGTATTTTGTATTTACCTAACTTCACAAGTACACTAACCAGATATGAGTACAATATGAAAAATAGGCTGCTGAATGGAATCAAGATGTATACAATGACCGTAAACTCGATCATCTTTGGTACATCAGATGAGTCTGTAGATTCCCATTTCACATGTGGGATGTGGGAAATAAGTTGCAACAAATACAGCACATGAAAGATTCCGAAGAGGAATGCCCAAACAGTAGGCAAAGCATGGACTTGGGCTGGTGAGGTGTTTACCGCCACCCCACCAAGAGTGACACTGTCGCTACCATTATTATTGGTCGATCCACGTCTGAAAGGAAATAAAGATAAATCAACACAAAACGTGTCTTCCAATCAACCAAAGAATGCATAGAAAATAATCAAAAAAAGTGTCTGCCAATGAAAAATGAAAATAGTAATATTTATTAATTATTATGTCGAACGTATCAACCACGATATAAATATTTATGGTTTATACTTGAGAAAAAAAGGATTATGCCTAGATCGGTTGACAAATCAATTTCAGTCAATAGAAAATTTGTCACTCCTGAATCCTTTGTCATGTTCTAGGTATTAACCGATTAAACATTATGAGAAAATCATAAAAGATTGTTTGGGTACCCCATTTTCCAAATGCATCATCATGTTTTAGATACTTCTTTTCAATTTATAAGGAAAAGTTATTTATTTAAAAATGATTTTTAAATTATTTTCCAATTAGTTAGTTAATTTTAAAACGTGTCTACTTATAAGTAGCATTTTTTCTTGAGCAGAATAAACTTATATGCATTAGCAAGTTGGGAATTCTGTAATTGGATGTGATAGAAGAGAAGATGAGTAACACAGCAGTCATCAAAATTTAAGCACAATTTCTTTGTCCAAAAATATAGCCATTAATTTCCCACAGCCTATTCTTCCTCCAAAAACCATGGAACTCCGTCCCATTTCCAACCCCCACATTACACCACCCAAACTTTACCCAGAAAAGCTTCCCCTTTCATCTCCTAAATTCTCATAGTTCACACTCGAACAATCCAGTTCAAATTTCAGGCACCCGTCACTCATCCATTTTTTTTTTCTTTTTATATTGGCATTTTCACGCATTACTAGTGATGATATACATTTGCACATTGATATTTGTTGGATGATTTTCCCTATGTATGAGCACTGGGTATATTTGAATGATTGAAATGAGTGGAACGAGGATTATTGCCTCTCCACTTCAATATTTGTTGTTTATTTTCGTTATTGTTCTGGGCGGCTCTTCCCGACGTCAATATGCATAGCTTCAAAGAGGTTTTATTAGCATCTTCATTAGCTCCTTTCTAATGCTGCTTAAACTTCCGGGGGAAATGTCCATTTTCATGATTAGACATGTGCACTCAATTTCAGATGAATAATACGTTACACTTCTTTCATACAGATCCCTTGGAGAGATTTTGACTTGGAATATATATATCACACAAATTGAAAAATGTCACGCAGAAACATAAATTCTATAAAGCAAATCGTCAAGAATGATGAGAAATAGCTTACCTGCGGGTATCCATTTTAGCTTTGCTTTCTTCGAGCTAAAGCAGCAAAAGAGTGTGTGTGTGTGTGTATGTGTGAGAGAGAGAGAGAGAGTGAGTGAGTGTGGTTGTGTTTTGGGTGCGTCTGTTGAATATGAATGGATTCGTTAGTGTGTATATATACTGATTTGTCAGAGACTGAGATACAGGATTATGCCATTACTAGAAAGGGGCTAACGAAGATGC